TTTATTTATGGGATATTGAAATTTGATACTCGTACTCAAGAGTTATTACATTTGAACAAGAAAAGTCCCGTTTGTTGCAACAGACCAGTAGAATTTTATATTTGGCGGGGATAAAAACAGAATAAATGCCAAACACAAGAAACAAGAGCAAAGAGAACAAAAAACAAGAAGATAAATCAGAACAGGAAGAATATTCAGACCAGGAAGACGTATTAGACACAACAGTAATGAGACAGAAAAACAAGAATCGGGAATAGAAAAATTAATACAAATGATGCAACTCCAATCACAGAAGATGGATGAATCACAACAAAGAACGGAACAAAAATTGGATGAATCACAACAAAGAATGGAACAAAAATTGGACAAATTGGAAGAAAACCAAAGAAAAATGGAACAAAAAATGGAAACGCGTATGGACAAATATGAAAACGAAATAAAAGTCTGTTTAGAAAGAAGTAGGGAAGAAACAGAGAGGAAACTAGAATTGCAGAGAGAAGAAATGGAAACTAAAATGAAGGATATTAAGGCTGTCCATAAAAAGGAACTGGAACAGTTAGAAGAAAAATTTGAAATGGCGTTACTAGAAGACAGGAAAGAAATGGAAAGGAAACTTAAGCAAAATGAAAAACAAATTGCAGAGATGGAGATAAGAGGAGTAGAAAGAAAGGAAGTTACGTACATAGCACAGAAGACGTAAAAGTACGATTTGGCGGGGATATAAGGAAACTACAACCCAGTGCCTTTTATAAATAACCTAAAGAAAAAAGTCACATACATAGGACCGTTTGCAACAGCAAAGGAAACCATCCGAAACCATCTCAAAGAAGAGGCAAATCTTTGGTTTGTCAGCAAGGAAGAAGAATTTGACATTGGCAAGATTTTGAGAGAAGATTCTTAAATTATTTCTGGGGAAAAATCCAGCAACTACAAGTAAATAAAGAGTTACAAAATGGAAAATACCATGAGAGGATGGGCGTATCAGAAACGATGTACGCATTACAACTCTATAATAATGCAAAACATTTGCAATATAATTATTCATCAGAACAATTGGT